GCCCCCGCCGCTCTCCCTCACCGCCGCCAAGGAGCTCTGGATCTTCTGGTACGGCGAGGAACCCGATCTCTCCGGCCTGGTATCACCGGAGCTCATCGCTTGCGGTGAGTATATCTCCACCGCGTGTCCGAAAATGCACCAAGTCGAACTTGGAGATTATAGACTAAGGGTGAGGAGGTGAGGAATGTAGAGAAGAATTTATTTTGCAAAACTCGTTACGTGAATTATATAAAAACGTTCGATTATTATAGAATTCTTTTTCTCTTAGAAGACACAATACCGACACGATACCAACGCCATTCTACCCTTCTTGGCATTAATGAATAATAAAAATAAAACAACATTTGTGTTGACTATGTTAAAAAAAAAACAGGTTACGTTACCTCAATCAAAAGTTATTATCTTTTTGAAAGCGGCTAGAGACTTTTTAACAAGAGTCTAGACATGAGAAAGTCTCTTTTGATTGATTCGCCATATTTCAACAATTTCCGAGACAGAGAGAAATAAATAACAAAGAGATAGAATAGAGTGGAAAAAAGAAAGAAATAGTAAATATATGCCTTTCTTTTTTGTAGATTTTTGTTAAAACTACTATTCTGCATATAAAACTACGGCTCATGTCCAGACTCTTATTGGGAGATCTAAAAGCGGCACATGAAGATGATCCATGTCATTTACTCAATACATGGCAAACTGATAATCTCGATCCGTAATATTTATGTAGGCGCGATGTACGGTATATTGCGTACGCCGGACTGGAAGTAGCAATTACGTGATGTTTATATACCGTTGTGTGGTGTTTTACCTAACGTCAACAAGGAGACCGTGACTAAGCTAACTTTTATTACGTACTTTCCAAGAGGAAGTTTCGACACGTAAGAGACACGAAGGGACCACGTTGCGTTAACGGATTTGTAGAAGCGCTTGACGCGCAAAAATCTTGTACTATACACAAGATCTATAGACTGTACATATACAACGTTCTGTCGATATAGCCGACCAGAGGCAACGTTAAAGTCATGAGGAGAGGAAAAAGGAATACGATTAAAAGTGAAACTCTCTTAGTCTTTAGACGTTGCGATAAGCAGCGACGTGTATAAACGCGTTAGCCCGTAAATCACACATCAAATTATCACTCAACTGTGTATCTCCTTTCGGACCATCAAACGATTCTGCCTGTTTTAAGCGGCGTTTACAATGAGATGTTAAGACGTAAAATTAAACCTTAAGTCATAAAAAATTGATCAATCACATCGAATATGAGGAGAATAAACGACCAGTAGTATCGTGAATTTCCATGATTTTTCTACAATCATTTTTCATATTTCGTTCTAGAGTTTTATCACGAGTAAAAGCGATAGTTTGGCGTCATTTTGATAAAAATTCGGACAAGCAAGCCGAGCCAGTTTTGTTTGAGAATACCTGCGTGCCGAAGACACGCGACGAAACTTTTAAAGCAGTAGCGAATCGGCTAGTTATAATTCTCGAGATTAGATTAGGTCAAGGAATATGCTCAACCGTGACCAGTCGATTTAACAAATTGAAGCTTTCGTTTTCTCTCACCGTAGATATATCAAGTTACATTGCTCGAAGCATAAAATCGTACGAATTCTTTTTTTGTATTCTGCATCGAGATAAATTTTGTTTTTTTTTTATATGTTCAGTAAATGATCAGTAAAATATTCTCTCCAAGACTGGAGCTTCTAGCGATGAATAAATTAATCAATCGCAGTTGAATGTTCTCGGGGATGATAGATTAGACCATGAAGTACTCTCGGAGAGAGGGAGAGTTATCAAATTTGATTCACTCGTCCTTAATATTTCGCCAGCGACATGGGATTTCAACTCTATGGAATCTTAATTCTGTAGTAATAAAAATCTTTGAGAAACGGAGCAAAATTTTTTTTATTCCAGATTACATAAAAATTTGAAAAAATTCTGATATACTTAAAGCTTCAATAAATTTTTACGATTATAGAAATCGAATTGTATTTTACTTATTTTTTATAGATTTAAATCTACCAGAATTCACAGTCGCACAAAATATCGATGGTGCCTTTAAGGATCCCATGTTGTCAGGGTTACGTTCTCTATCTTTCTTTTAACGCTCAGATTTCACTACTCAAGCTCCAACGATTACGATGACGATTATCTCGCCTTTGAGAAGTGTGCAGTAACGTCGTTGTCGTGCAACGGACCAGCGTTCGAGCCGTGCTGGACCGAGGCCCGGCCGGCGGCGTTTCTCGACCGGCGGGGTCGCTGAACCATGCACTTGTCTGCAACTCGTTGCAGCGCGCAACGTATAGATCTGCTGTGTTGTGCATCGCACCGCGCCGCGCTGCTCTGCCGGAGAGTGCACCAATTGCGAAACTGTGGCCGACCGACCGCACGGTGAACCGTTAAGACTGAAAACGACCAACATGGCCTACCGCTGCGACGGTGACAATCGCGACAGTTTAGCGACTAAAAAAAAAACCGTTGATCGTTCGAAGAATTGAGATAAGACGCGCCCCTTTGCTCTTATCGGATATCGATCTCCTTTTCTTTGTTAGAAGAGAATATTTTGGTATTATCAGTTTAATAAAAGCATGGACCGGATAAATGTACCATTGTCATTTTTCTTTTATCTAGATGCGTGCGATAATTAACATTGAGGTAGACAGTAACAGTTATAACAATAGTTAAGCCGAATGCGCTTTTTAAGAATAATAATATGTTTCACTGTCAGTTTTATGTACGATTATCGCGATGGAAGTTTCTCGATAACGTTCGGATTTTGGGAGACGCAAGCTGCAGTGAGACCACCGCGGCTAGTGGTCCATGAGAGATGCAACTCCCTCAGGCTCCGGTCATATCGATCGACAGAACACGTGTTCTCCCACTCAGTGATTCTCAACGTTACTGCAACTGCGTGTTATTATAAAAGGTGTATTTAATTACACGAGATTTATTGATTTCTTTCTTTCGTTAAATAATTACACCTCGGTATTCATTTATTTTTGTATATAGTTGCAGTTGGAGGGAAACGTTTGCTTGTGAGATACACCTTTCAACAATCGTGAGTTGAAATCACAGAACGAAATGCGCATAATATCGCGCGAGCTCGCAGATCCTACGCACCTCTTCGCACTTCGAAGCGCACTCGTTCGCGTGAGAACAAAATCAGGGGAAAGCTGGTTCGAGCACGCGCGCGCGCGCGACTTGAGATTCTAGAACTTTTCTGTTTTCTCGGCCAACTTCTTCTCTACCTTCCACGAAACGCTCACCGTCGCTTGACGTGACGTCGCTGTGATTTTACACGCGAATCGCATTACTTTCACGTTAAATTCCGCCGGATTGGGCGCTCCGCAAATAAGAGCGTACTTCACCTGCTCCAGTGTGTACAGCGCGACTATTAAAATATGTACGACAGCGAGCGAAAATTACATGCATATTTTTTGCCAGGACCAAAAGAAGACATATCGTTTCTTCTCGCTTAATTGGAGCAGCAGTAGCAACGTGTAATCATTATTTCCGCGTATTTTTAGAAATCGATCGTCCATACGTAGCGCACATTAGAGTATTCTAGTTCCTCCATGTCGTTCATTGTACAAGAAGGAATGTTATAGCTAGACTGATGCGTCGACGGCTTCGTTCACGATTTTATTATTTACTGTCATTTACAGAAAGCGAGCAGGGTTCTTGGGAAAGCGGATTGTCGTACGAATGCCGGTCACTTCTTTTCAAGGCTCTGCATAACTTGATTGAACGGTGTTTGCTATCCCGTGACTTCGTTCGCTTAGGAAAGTGGTTTGTGCAACCTTACAATGGCTACGAGAAACACCGTTGCAGCAGGTAAATGCTTGTTTAATAACAATATCTATTATTGAGTTCTGCAATTTCACAAAATATGTTTCAAAAGTAATGATATTTTTAATTTCATTTTGAGAACAAATTATTTTAAGAACGTTCAGTATCATGTGTATCTTATCATGTAAAAATTAGACACATATTTAAAATGTACAATAGTATTATTCAGAACGTATATATTATATCTAAATATTTCATAAAAGAAGTACACAAATGTTCATCATGAAATGAATGCTCGAAGTGATCTTGGAACTATATATCCGATAATTTGATATTTGTATGAATGTTTAATGTGGATGTAAATGACGCACAAATACGTAAATAAGATGCGTACATCTCATATGTGTCTAATTTAATGTGATAAAGAGTACAATGGATTAAGTGTACAAAGTACACAATACTTTTATAAATTACAGTATAGATTCGATCGACAAATCTTTAAATCTTTTATTTATATTTGCAGCAGCCATCTGTCGTTCTCATTTGCATTTTTCGTTCACGGAGAAAGTACTGTGTGCGCAAGTGTGGACGTCAGGCAGCATCCTGCGGTACGACATCTCACAAAGACATGTCTACAACGTACTCAGACCTCCCAATCCGGTGTTAAAGGTAAGTATCGCTTGCTATGTAGAAAGAAAGATTTATAAGTACAGTTGACAGTTGATGAAATATTAATTCATTATTAATGTCAATGTATTTCTTGATTTATTCCATAGTGATCCTAGCTCCTTATGGACTAGCAGGCACATTAACGGGTCAAGTGAGCCGTATGGACAGTCAACTTCTCGAAGAATGGAAACATTTCTATCCAATCAGTACCGGCAGTAATCCGGAGACCGGGCTTCCACCCCTCGTGGAGGTCCTCGTCGGTGGCGTGCGCATGCGTTATCCTTCTTGTTACGTCTTGGTTACGGATATGGATGATACGCCACCTGAAACTCCTCTCTCGCCTCCAAGCAGCCCCGTCACTTGTGAGCGACCCCTTTTAACGCAACAGGAACTGAGCGCAGCTACCGAATTACCGGAACGCGTGTGGGCAGAATGTACTTTGAGTTCACCAGTGTCTGCTTCCAAGACAGAATCTTCCACGGAACCTGGAACCTGGACGTTCGTGGAACCGACACAAAAGTCTTCCTGTACCTGTTCATGTTCGAAGTAAGAACGGCGGAAGTTTATACTTCTTTTTTATTTCGATTTTATTGCATTGTGCAAGACACTCTTTAGATTCCTGTTTCTTAGATTTCAAGTATAAAAAATTAATTGTTTACTATATGTAACTTTTAATAAATTTATCATTAAGTTGTTTTAATTAGTTCAATAGCAGACCAAAATCAATTATATATGATCTTTTTTATAATTGAATACAATAGTAAACATTTAATTTTACTATATATTGCGTCAGTTGAATAATGTTAGTAATATTTGCCATCATATTGGTTTCTGCCATTATTGCATGTAATAGCACAAAATATAGAATCGTAGAATATCCAAATTATTATAGATAAGTAGTAATATGTGATGGCTGTTGTAATGTGTGCATGAAATTTAGTCTTTGAAAAGATAGCTCAAAAGCAATAATGACGAACTTGTTAATGTATTTATAAAGTTATATTTAAAGCAAATTAAATTAGGTACTTATTTATAATTTTTGTCCAAAAACGCATAAATTGTTACTATAATGAAAAGATTGTAATATTATTATGCATTGCATTTGAGCTTCTATAAAAAAGCATAAGTATATTTAGGACCGAGTATTAATGAGATACAAAATCCAATCAAAAGCTAAAGAGACCTGAAGTTATATTCGAATAGAAAATTGACTGCAATTTTTTTACGTTTATATAAATCAATGAAGGTTAGCTTAAAATAACATACCTCGTAAATATAATCTTAGCTATTCTTCCTTGACATTTAAATATATTGCTGAACTCTCATATTGAAGAATTATGAGATTGCCAAAAAATATTTAGGCATGCAAACATTATTTTTGTGGCCAATTAAAAAAAAAATAAATTATCATAATGTATCATTTCATATCAATAATTTCAATGAGATGTTCAAAACTTGATTAAGTTTATGTGTATTGACAATGTTTATGTGTAATATTTATTAATAAAAATGATTATTAAAATATAAGAAGAAATATTAATGGTAGGTTTACTGTGAAATAATTCAAATAAATAACTCAAATTCTTTAAAGAATTGTTAATTCGCAAACAAAACATTTAGTATTTTATTTGAATCATTTTCTTAAAGTGTATGATTAGAAAATGTATCATTTATCAAAATAATAGAATAGAAATCGTTACAAGTATGCCATATTTTAAGCTAGTCTTTTTGCAATTTCACAGTTGATATATGAGTTATTGCTTCAGGATTCTGTAAGGATTCTATTAAAATAATAGAGAGATGCGTTCGCAAGGAAACGAGATGTTAAATGCATCGGTTGCAGGTATACGACCCCCGGGGGTTGGAAGAGCCTGGCCTCCTCTCAGGTTCAGAGGGAGAGGGTAGATAAAGGTGGACGGAGGGTCGTACCGTTTCACCGACGGTCTACCACTCAGTGGGACGCTTGTCCCTCTGTCCCTGCTAATGCCCCCAGGTGGGTAATTTCTAGGCCCCCAAATACAAAGGGAGAAAGAGATCATCTTCATAATTTCTCTTAATCAATCATCGCAATAACGCCAGTTTTACGTATAATCATAATGATCCCCCATAACTCTTCACATGCAGATTCATCGCTTTTGCAGCTCCATCATATAATATATTCAAATAACTTGACGCACAATATAACGTATTAATCAGATTTTATTTTAACTGTACAAAGGTGCGAGGCATGTCTTTTTAAGCGCGATCGAGTCGCGGGTGAAGAAAGATGAACGGAAGACTAATATTCTTATACTTGAGACGGTGTAAAACTGCAAATATCATTTAATGGTATAACGATATACTTAGAATTTTTCAGTGGGTAAATGGGACTTTCTAATGTCAATATTATGTGAATCCTATGGTATAAGGTTGTCAATTTTTTACATGTACTAATACAATGTAGTGAGTACAGATATGTATTTAATGTCAACGAGAAACAAGTTTATACCAATATATTCCTTTAGCGAATTATTTTTATATACTATATCTCATTTATAAAAAACAAAAAACATAATAGTTTATGAATTTTCATATATAATCTATCGACCTAAAAATATTTTCATGCGCATGAGATTCGGTAGCAGACGGGATCTGAGCTTTACACATGATTGGTAGTGCACTTCAGCATATCTTTCTTTTCAGTTATTTAATTAGCTTGTGTTACATGTAATATAGAAAATGGTATATGCTTTGCATGTAGATATTGTTCGATATTTTCAGCATTTATTTTACCTTATGAGTTGTTTTACATCGTTTTTACATCCATCTACATATAACAGGCTTCTGTTCATATTCATACACATTTTATGTTTCGACAAGCGCAACATACGCTTTTTCTCGAACAATTCATCATCTTAATTGCACAAAGTTACTTTAATAACATTATTAATATATTGATAAAAATTAACGAAAATGTATATGCTGTTCTAAATTATTTTTAAATCACAATATATCGAAATAATCACACTGTAGGGAATACTGTAATCTAAAAAAACTATAGTCTAACATTTTAATAATCTAGTTTTGAAAAATATTGTTTGTCATTTTGGATTGGTCTTTCCTGTATCAGAATTGACTATTCAATGCTTTTTCACGTTCTTGGATATGGATACTAAACTCATTTTCTCTTTACGACTCTAACAAAAATTGTCAAACATATCCGTAATCAATCTGTTTAAAAATTGAGTAGGTCGGTACTGAGTAGAACGGAAGCACCTAGTACACCACCGGGCGGTCCACCTTCCTACTCGCGCGGACCACCAACGGGAGGAGATTGTTTACCGGTGCCGTCGGTTGGCTCACCAAGTTCTCCGGCACCATCGCCCCTCCTGACTCCACACTCCGAGCCGGCGTCGGTCCCGCCCGCGGAGCCTACGATGCCGACTCTCAGCCCGCAACCTCCACCAAGTCACACAAACACTGCCCTACCCCTAACCCCGTCGCAAGGGCCCAAGTCCATTTCTTCCGCGTGCAACAACCAGGTGCACAGTCCATCGGTTCCTGGACCGGTACTGAAACGACCAATTTTGGTATCCCGAGAGTACGAAGGTGCTCTCTTGGAAGATGAGCAACCGCTATCTTGGCTCTACGATTATTCACTCCAGGAAGCTTGGCTGAATCATCCTGTGAAGCGTTTTAAATCCATGAACATCAGCACTCCGCCGACTAACCGGAGCAACATTCTATACCCACCAATGAACTCTCAAACGCTCCAATCTCAAGCTCCTAAGCTGGAAATTAAACAAGAACCTGTCGCAGTTGTAAGTGATATTTATCATTGACAAAAAAACAATTAAGATAAATTAAATCACTTAATATATTTGTAAATATATATTTGCTACAAAAATACTTAGATTTTATCAAATTATAGAAAGAAGATTTCCTTTTAGATGCTTTTTAGAACCTTATTTAGTGGAATTTTATATAATTTATAAAATTTAGAAATTATTGGAAGTTTGTAAAATTAATACGGTTTGTCTCATATTTTCAGAGTAAAAAAAAATATAATAAAATACGATTAGCATATATATAAAAAATTTTTTATTCGAAAACTTGAATAAAAAACATTTCAATTGAAAATTATCATATTTAATTGAAAATTATTTATTAACCTTATTTGCGATAAAATTACAAAAATATTCTCAACTATTTTCAATTCTAACGCAAATGTCTAGCTGCTTCTTCATTTGCATTATTAAACGCATTAACGATAAAGTATATCTTGTGATATCAGGGCGAATGTATCGGAAGAAGAACAGATCCATATGAGTTCGATGCGACAGGCGAGGAAAATGGCACAAATGTCGACGGTCTCAGACGACAAAGGGACGATCCAACTAAACCAGGATCTCTTTTCACCAGCGAGGGTCTTCAGCCTTCCTATAAAGATTTAGATCAAATATTCGATAATTCCGATCCTGATACTTCCAGCGATGAAACGGTAAGTTTAAATTTATTTTAAAATAATTGATGTAATTCTGTACATGGCACAAGGACACAAGAAATTAGACACCATCCTCGAAGATCGAATAGAGATAGAATACCTTTATGTTCACAGAATCTGAATCAACTACAAATACAAACGCCACCAGGCTCGAATAAATCTGGTGGATTGCACGAAGAGACGAGGGTGGACGGTGCAAACAAGAATAACAATCGAGGAGTCACAGTTTTACGACCAGAAGAATTATCCAAAATGTTTCCAACTCCTCCGTCTCTAGAGCATAATCCTGTTGCTTCGCCTTGCCAACTAAGTGACCCTCTCATGGACCAGACTGAGCTGCTGATGCCTTCGCGACCGCTCAGACACCTGCCCGACATCTATCCTAATATGGGTTCTCCACAAGAAGAGCCAATTGACGATTGGTCATACGTGTTCAAGCCGGCGGCCATCAGCAAGATGGTCGGTTCTTCCAAGTACGCACCTCTCACGAATCTGCCTAGCCAATCTCTGCCATCCATCACACTGCCATCGCACTGCGTGTACAGACCTTCCTGGCAGTGCAATTCTGCTTCCACCAATCAGGCGGACAAACCTCTTCCACCAACCAGGCCCGGATCAGTGCAACAGCAACAGCAGCAGCAGCAACAACAGCAGCAGCAGCAGCAGCAGCAGCAACAACAACAACAACAGCAACCTTGTCCACAAAGTCCGGCGCCACCTTACCGTTCAAACACTCTGCCTGGTAGGCCACCACCACCCCCTTACGACCAACCCAGCCCAGCCACATCCACTACTTCTTCATATCTCAATAAAAATCTCAATAGCATCGAGGCGGATACACCGGGACCCGCTCGCGCACCTGAATCAAATTCTCTCGTAGTGAATATTCTTCTGGGTGACACTGCACTCAATATCTTCCGCGATCATAACTTCGACAGTTGCAGTCTGTGTGTGTGCAATGCTGGGCCCAAGGTTGTAGGCAATATCAAAGGCGCTGATGCGGGCGTTTATCTCAGCAATTCGTGGGTGGGTTCTGCGCTCTTCCAAGACGACGATCAAATCAGATGTAGTTGTGGCTTCAGCGCCGTAGTGAATCGACGACTCGCGCATCGAGCGGGTCTATTTTATGAAGATGAAATGGAGATCACGGGCGTCGCCGAAGATCCGGCGGAGAAGAAGAAGGGTTCGCTTACCGCGGTCGCGTGTCCCGGAGCGAAAGCGGCCCCCGAAGGTCTCGATACGATACCACCAAATGTTCTCGAATTATTACGCGAACAATGCCTGATCGTTCAAAGTTCTGCCAGCAGTTTGTATAGAGCGGCCAGGATATGCGCCACCGTGAAAAGCTATCCAACGTTGACGCCGACGGTGAACACTCTAGAGTTCAACGATGGTAATGAGGTATGCGTCGCTGCGCTCGATCAAGGCAAACTCGACGGCGCGCATAACGAGAGGGCGGCGCGTGTAAACGGTGTGCATCGGTGGGTGTTTCTCAGGGCACGAGGTCCTCAATGTAGCGGTGACATCGTGCGAATGATGAGATCGCTACAGCCGCTGCTCCAGGACGCGGTACAGAAGAAGTGTACGACGCGCATGTGGGAAGCGCCGTATACTGTCACTGGACCGCTCACATGGCGACAATTCCATCGTTTGGCCGGTCGCGGCACTGATGATCGTTGTGAGCCACAACCAATACCTGCTCTAGTCGTCGGATATGATCGTGATTGGTTGTCATTGTCGCCGTACGCGGTCTGCTTCTGGGAAAAACTGTCTTTAGAACCGTTTGCCGGGCATAGAGATGTCGCCTACGTGGTCGTCGCACCTGACAGTGATTGTATTGTCAATAGAGTGAAATCGTTTTTCCGAGAACTTTCCTGCACGTATGAGGTAAATACAAAAATTATTTTATCTTACAATTTTAATGTTTTCAAATTTTATACGTTTCTTTTTCCTCATCACAATAACAAGACTCGATTATATTTGATACGATGTGAAAAAAATCATCACAATAGAAGCCTCGATGTCTTTGTTTTTTCACGATTCTTCAATTATTCTTCAAAGAACAATAGTATTGCTATTAATATTGATAAATAAATTTTATTTTATTAAATTTATTAAACAAAAAAAGAGTAATTTTTGGATCTTTAAATCTTTATTGTAATACACACACATACACACACGTACACACACATATTACGTAGTAGTTGGAATTTTTTTTTTTATTTTTCTAAAATGTGTTCGAAAAACTACATTTTAAATGATTCTTTTCTGTATTGTTATTATATCCAGTTCTTTCGCGGTTCGCTCAATTAATTTCATCTGCAATAAGAAATATTAAAGTTTGAGATGTTGATATTTTTAACTCGTCGCAGATTTGCCGATTAGGAAGACACACGCCAATTTCGAAACAACTACGCGATGGAATTCTGCGCGTCGGGAAGTCAACTGTGCAGAAACTGGCGAAACAACCGATGGATGATTGGTTCAAGTTTTTGGGAGAGAATCATATAGGCGAACTATTGAGATTGTATGCCCAAGTGTGTAATCATCGATTGGCTCCATATTTGACGCAGGTCATACAAGATCGTAGTTTGTTGGATCCTGGTGATTCTCAACAAGCTAACAAACAGCAGCAACAGCAATCCACAACAATTCCCGTTCCTGATACAATGCCAGCTACACCCGATGTATTATCAACCAAACCTGAGTCTGTCGGTACGTCTTATCGATGATCGCATTTTAATGATACGGTTTTAACGGTACATCATCCTTGGGATTGAATCTAGCGAGATTCGTTGCCTTTTACAGAAGGGGAAAATCCGAGGAGTGAGACTCCCTCCTCGAGCACAGCAACGAATCAGACTACTACTAATACAACCGGTAATACGACACCGACATCGCAACCTACAAGCAACACGCCGATTACTACGACCACAGGTCCGGATGAAGAAGAAATTGAACCTCCAGCCATCGTTGTTTATTTTGTTGAACCTTTTTCGTTAGGCGGTACCGAGGATCCTGATCGACGTCGGCTTGCTATTCTAGCTCTACTCAGAGCTTACTCTTCTGCGATCAATAGCATGCCTGAAAATATGAGATCAAATATTCACGTTCAGGTAATAAATTCTAAGACTGGATCTTGATGTGATAAGGAATTAATAATTTTTAAACTCAGCTGATCAGTATTTTAAGTTGTTTTTATGGCATTTTAACAATTTGCTTTTAGATAATATCCTTGGAAAGCATAATGGAATTGGGTCGAGCTCGAGAAAGGCGAAAGATTCAAGATGAGATGAGAGCCTTGGCGTTAAATGTCTTCTTGCAAGGACGTCGATTATTAAATCATAATTCTACGGTGAAAAGCCTTACTGGTTTCGGTACTGCCGCCGCTGCAGACATCTTCCTCAAAAGTAAAGATGTAAGGCTCCATGCTCCATTACTATAAATTAATGCTTACCATATGATTAAGGATTATCGAAAATTCCGTTTGTGCGCTGCGATATTATGATGTGAAATTAAAATCTATGCTATATATAAATCATTTTTACTCATTTAGTAATATTCTCTGCAGGAACGAAATAGAGCACCTTATCGTCTCTACGCACCGGCCTTCGTATTAGCACCATTGCGGGCAAAGAGTGAAGCTCCCGAATCATTTGGCATGCCGAGACCCGAAGAATGCGCGGTGCTCTATCTGAGTTACTGTTTGAGTGAGGATCAGTCTTGGCTGTTGGCGGCCGCAACGGACGATAGAGGCGAAATTTTCGAAACCGCTACCATTAATATCGACATACCTAACAGGAAAAGAAGAAAGCGCGCTTCAGCTAGGCGTATTGGCCTTCAAAAGCTTATGGACTTTATATTGAGTGTAATGTCCCAAGGTGTAAGTAAAAATTTTACATAAATTAAAATCAACATTAATAGAATAAACTAACAGTATTTAATAAAAAATACGAGAGCCAACGCAAAGTTTTTTCGCAAAAACAATATAATAATTTTTTTCATCTGAAAAAACAAACATTTCGACCTTTACATCAGTTCATTCTCAGTATATCGTTAACAATTTCAAATTATTAATCACATCTATTACAAAGCTTCAAAAATTAAAATATATATCGGTTGCAAATAAAACGTGTATGCATCGTTAACACATTAACAAGGAATTAACTGTAGAACAATAGTATAATGGTTGATTATGTTAGAAAATGTGGTGGGGCAGCATTAAAGGAGGGGAGTTGGAATCAGAAACTTAAAAGGGGAAAAAATAAATAGCTAAGGACAGGAAGATAATTATCGAGATAAATATCAGGTAAACACAGTATCACTTTGTGTTTTATTCAGACCACTGTGGGGTTGTTGGGTTTTTTTTTTTTTTTGGTGTGTATTCCGATACCATCCTCTTATTAAAAGACGACTCCAAAATATGCAAAATTGATATTTTTCCCCATTAATTTGTTAATGATGACAGAATACTATAAATAGATATTATAAATAGCATGAAAAATCACAATTCAAATTCTCATTGACAAATTTTATTCTCATTAAAAACATTCGTTCTTTATTGTTAAATATTATTCATTTTATAAATATTATTTCTGTTTTTTTTATCATTCAATTATTTTTGTTGCAGGTACAACCATGGAGACTGGTCGTTGGTCGAGTAGGACGCATTGGACATGGCGAATTAAAAGGATGGAGCTGGTTACTTTCTAGAAAAGCGCTTCTGAAAGCTTCAAAGCATCTGAAAGAGATATGCGGACAGTGTAGTCTCTTATATCCCTCGGCGGCACCTTGCGTACTCAGTGCGTGTTTAGTCTCACTCGAGCCAGATTCCACTCTAAGATTAATGGCCGATCAATTCACTCCCGATGAAAGATTCAGTCAGGCATCTGTAAACTGCCAGTTATCCACACCTCAAGATGTCACATGTACTCATATACTTGTTTTCCCAACATCCGCTACCACTCAGGTAAGAAAGTTTAATTATATATACATAAATAACTTAATTACATTATTTATTGAATATAATTAGGCTAAATCCTGTTTTAATATTTTAGTCGTCGCAGACCGCATTTCAAGAGCAACACAACGTACCCGAGTTAGGAGACGACGAATTATTTTCCGCTTTAAACGATGATATGCCGGAAGGTATGGAGGGAATGGGTGACTTCAATGATATTTTCAATGTTTGGCCTGAGCCGGGCGCAGGCGGTGGGCAAAGTCCAAGCGGAAGTCCGCATCGTCCTGAAGGTTCACCGCATGGTGGAGATGGCGGTGGATCAGGCTTAGGCAATCACGATGGGCCTGGCAGTCCATTTCCGTGCAGCAACACGCCAAGAGTAAATTTTGTTTTTTAAACTAAGTCTGCAACTATATTGTAGCCATGTGAAATTACATGCAAATTTATGTTATTCGCAGATAGCGACGACTGAGCAAGCAGAAGAAGTTGGCACGCTTCTACAACAACCACTCGCTCTTGGTTACCTAGTATCAACTGCGCCAACGGGACGAATGCCATCATGGTTTTGGGCAGCTTGTCCACATCTCGAAAACGTTTGCCCAGTATTCCTGAAGAACGCGTTACACCTGCACAGTCCCGCAATACAACAGAACAGCGACGATTTACTTCAGCAACAAAACGCACCTACTGCTCATCCATTGGACTCGCAGTATACCACTGACGTGCTTAGGTTTGTATTTGCGATGATGTTCGTGATTTTTGCTTTCTAGACATTTGTTGCATAAAATTTGTATTATGTACAATTTACGTGATTGACAGGTACGTGTTGGAAGGGTACAACGCACTGTCGTGGCTTGCACTGGATGCAAACACCAAGGATCGACTGTCCTGCTTACCAGTGCACGTACAGGCGCTCATGCATCTCTACCATGCGACGGCAGCTCTCGTCTGACCCACACCCTCTCCCGTTGTAGTGCAGTATATGCACCTCTCTCACGCACTCCTTATTGTACCGTCACTTGGGGCTTTACGAGAGCAACTAATTTCCTATGCCCTTTACCTGTACTACATTAGTTAGGTACTTAGAGAGAAAGAGATTGTCTAGGTACAGAGTACGATCCTTCTCGACCATATGTAAAGAGAACCGGGCTTTTTTTACTCGGACTCTAATTAATACAAAAGTTAGCGCAATGAAAATGCAAAGGCTGAAAATGCAGAACTCAATGAGAACGAACAGCGACTCTCTTTACCATTTTTCTATTATAACAGGCGAAATAGATTGTACTTTGTGTTTATGATCGTATCTCGTATTTCGTAAGGAAAAAATGAACTGCGCATCCAATACGACCATTACCAGCGAAAGCAAATGTGAAACTTTGCGAATGGTAGAAGCGAAGATGCGAGCGATGAAAGATACTGTGAGAAAGGAAGAAAGATAGGGTACGAAAGAATGAGAATGAAAGAGAAGTATAGCGAGAGAAAAGTGCGAAAGAAATAGAGAAAGAAAGTGCGTGAACGAACGAGCGAGTGAAAGAGAGAAAGAAAAGGTGAAAAAGAGAGTGCATAATAAGAAAATGATTTTCGATTGCCTCTCTATCGATAGATAGTTGAATTACAAATCAGAATCTCTAGAAAAATTACGTAACCAAAAGTTTTTAATTGTAAATTAAATTTTGTACAAAGCTTTTATTATTAATGACGACGAAGTAATATAAATGATATTACGTTGTTTTTTAATTTTATATAGATGATATAAAAAAAAAGAGAGGTGGACTTCTTTTTTATAAGCGATGCCTCGTATAAGCCCCTGGTGTGAGATAAGTATGACGATTATAATATTATATTATGCTCGCGCGGCACTGGGTCGCTGTTATCATGTTTCCTGGACCCGTTAGCGCAATTTTTCGATGCTGTTTGACAAATTTTATTCGGATTAGGTGACCTCTATATATTATACATACATTATAGTGTAAAATATTGTTTTTAAATAATTTATGAAGTGAGACATCGCCGAGATTAGATAATTGAGAATGAAAGAAGGAAATAATCGCGAGAGTGAAAGAAAAGGAGAGAAAGAGAGAAAAGAATAAGCGAGAGAATGAGAGAACGAGCCAGTTATGCAGAGATTGTTTTCCTCCAATTTAACTTTGAATGCAAAAAAAGAAGAAAAGACACGAAGAGAGAAATTGTGGGGCGCGTCTGAGTGGAGCCACGGTGGCCAATTGCGTCAGTCGCATAGTACAAATATGACTTGTACATAGAACCCCTAACTCCCTAATTAATTGGTTAATTTACTCACACCCACACTCACTCTGTATCTATAGTATTTATTACTGGGTAGTACGTCATTATTGGGATTATTATTATTATTAAAATTATTATTATCATTATTATATTAATATTACGAAATACAGTTTTATGTGTATATATATATAATTACATATGTGATTTTTTTCTCGTATTTGTAGCGCCCGAAAAATTGTCTCGCAAGCACAGTAGAAAAAATGTTTTCCGCTTCCATGAACATGCAAAAAAAACAATTGAACAATTGAATTTTTTTCATTTGTCAAGTGATTGCTCTTATCATTTCGAGTCTTGTGTACTAATATCTTTCTACTCGATATCTAATGGTGCTGTATATCTTTACATTGCTAATTAGGTAGATAAAAGTATTTTTTTTTTAAAGGAAAATAAAACGTGATACTTTTAAATACCTTTAAAAAGAAAGGAAAATACGCGGCACTATTCTTCGACGACATATATATTAAAATACGACATTTATTCTAAGGATCATACGTTTTATTCAGTTTAAATTCTTAAGAAATTATTATCACATCGCATCTTATAAAATTTAACTGTCGTAATTTCGTTCTAAAAAAAAATTCTGAATCTCTACGCATATCTATTGTGCTTGCACTATCTCCCTATCTTTTCTAGTCTATAACTATATCCATTATGGCCAGTGTTTTTTAACACAGATACGTATAAAGACTTCATGTGTTTAAGAAGTACGATATATCACACTTTTCATCCGCTGAGAATATATTACATTTATATATCGTTGGCTCGAATGGACTAGTATCATGTATAAAATAAAAATTACAGAATCTTACGATTTATTTACGACAGTGTACGGACTAGTATTCGATCAACGTCGACGGTCGATCCGGAGAGGATCTCTCCAGGCTGTGACTGATACCATATGGCCTCAAATGGTAAATCAGATATTCCAGAACATACATCATGTTCGGTGACACGTAATGGAATGAAACAGCACTGTCTGAACAGCAATTCAATCCATCCTTGGTATCATAATAGATATACTTCCAATACCAGAAATTTTTATCTACATGATTTGGGATCAAGTGATGTTCCGGCACAAACGGAAAGAATCTACCGCGCCCGTGAGGATCTCTGGTATCCATCGCGCGTACACCAATTTTTTCGAGACATTTTCCCATCTCCACGTCCTCGGCGCCGCCATTATCCGGCCGGCATTTTGTCTTATCGGGTAAACCTTCTTCCACGAACTTGCGTAAGCCTTCCTTACTAAGTACATATCCTGCGCCACCGCTCATGTAACCTTGCTTTACGAAAGGTTTAAATCTGCATCCGAAGTACAATGATGAATTTGGATTATATGACGATAACATATATCGTAAATTTTCTACCACCACATAGCTGAAAACGCATAAACGCGAAAAAAATTATTTTTTTCAATTATATATGTGTGCAATGTATTTAGTAGCTCTTTTGATTGTAAAAACATTGTTCATTTAAAATAATCTAAATTATCAAGTTTTATTTAATTTTTTTTTTTAATTTATTCAATATTATTTGTACTTATATTTTTTGTTAACCAATATAAAAAAATACCAATTTGTGTTACTTATTTATGTGTATTGTATATTATATCATAAAGATAAAATCATTAAAAGAATGTACATGTATATCGTGCTGTAGAGATAAAATTTATCACAAATATAGAATGTACTTACGTATCATCGTCAGCTTTCATGAACCAATCTACTTTATCTTTGTACTTCTCGTAAGCGTATTTAAACGCTTCTTTGGTTTTAGCCCATAGATTATCTCTACCTTCCTTTACTGGCAACACTACAGTGGGTAAGCTGGCATCTAAAAATAAATGGCATGCGTACATTGTACAAAAATTCTACCTGCGTATCACAACCTTTATCTGACGTTTAAAATACCTGCCGCAGAACTCATGAAAAGAAGTACATTGCAACGTTTTCCCCATGTCGCTTTCACGTGACGAGCCTTGCTCTGATGGTTCTTTGGACCTGTCATAATCCAGCAAAGGACACGTACTTTTCTCGCCATATCCTGAGCTATTCTATCTTCTCCTTTGTGGAAATCTTCATCATCACCATGAAATTTCACTTCTGTTTCAGGGCCAACCTATCATAGAAAATTCAATGATGAAAATCATTTCAGTTACACCTGGGTGTCCCGAAATTCACAGATCAAAATACCATATCAAGATAAATCAACCAAATCACCATAGCAAGAAAGTTCTCGAAAAATTAAGTTATTTGTAAAATTTTTGTAGTTTTTGAGATAATAAGGATTTAAATATGGCTAATTACGTTTAGATGACCATTAATATGATCATTATTTAAACGTAGTCTATAGTTAGCCATGTTAAAACTCTTATTATCTTAAAAAGTACTACTTAAAATAAAACTCTATTAAATTTATTAAATTAAAATACAAATAACTTTTTGACTTAATTTTTCGAGAACTTTTGTTGTGTATTTTGATTCACGAATTTCGGAACACCCTGTATAATAATTATATTTAAAAAAAAACATTATTTGCACATGTTTTAATCAAAAAGAAAGGAAATTCATCATTTTCCTCACAGGTATAGTTATAAGCAAAATTAATACGCATTTATGCCGGTTTATAAGTTTTTATGTTTTGTATCGAATGCTTAACATATGGTATTCTGAATAATAGATCAAGCTGACACAAATGTTTTAAAAGCATTGTTATTTGGAATATAAAAAAAAAAATAAATTACGTTACCTCTGATTCTAGTTCTAAATAATGATGAGGATCTCTAGAAAGGCCAGAACTACCTGGTACCCAATTAAACATATGCGGTACATCTCTCGTAGATGTAATGAGCAAACATGCTGATAAAAAGCCGAAAACCGTTCCAGCAACGAGTGTTAATATAAATCGCCGTCCACTTCGACCACCTGTGTGAACAACTAATTACTGTATATTTTATAACTGTTACAATTTCATATTTACAAACTATGGATTAATATAAATCAGACAAAATTAAGCATAAATTGATTTATATAAAATTAAATGAACACTTACCATCGAAACTAGGTAGCCGCTGCTGCACCATGATATATAATATAAATTGGTTCAACTCAATAACACTATAAATGCTTGAATATAAATTGCAGTCTCCTTCGCATTCATTTTTAATTGTATAAATGCATGATATGATACTTTATTACTGCCTTCTAAAATATAAAAACATATTACTGTTTTATGATTAATATAATAAGAGTACTGTGTTAGAACCGGCCATACACGTTCAAGTAAATTTGCACAAGTAGATTGTACAAGTAGATTATACTTGACAAATTTATTTGAAAGCGTTTGGCCGACTTCAAATAGAAAATGCACTAAATGTTGAACAACTTTTACTGTAATATCTGTATTATCTAAGATATCAAAAAAAACTCTTAAAGTTTGTTGATAAGCTACGAAAATTTATTGACCTTATCAATATTAGATATATCAATATTGACCTTATCAATATAGTTAATAATTATCAATTATAGAAACATGCAGATAAAAATTTCTCTTATATTAAATACTCTTATATTAATGTATTATTTTTCTATTTTAGTTCTCCTTCATGTCGCAGATGACTATTTCACATTAAAATCAACATCAACTTCAACTCCAACATTACGTAATATTTATGTTAATAAAATAAATTCATTATTATTCAATAACTTCATATACATACCTGATCAACAAGATGTCTTGATAATACGATAAACTCTTCAAGGCCATTTCTAAGCTCATATATTGAACTCGTCACTTACAATAATGTAGGTAATCTTCGCTGAGCATATCTTTTCATGCTTCTCGCATTTTTAGTCAGCTAAGTATGAGTGCTAAGAGTTGTATATATAAGCGTATATATAATGTAGTATCTTCAATTCAGAGGACTGGAGATCTGAAATAAAAAAGAAAACCATAAAAATAGCAATCAGAGATAAGTGTGTGAAAAGTATGGAATACTTGGAGACAATGCTGTATTAAGTGTCAGCATACTTTTTGAATTATATGCGCATTTATGTTTCTGAATGTATAAACAGTTTATCGGAAATGTTCTTTGATAACGAAATAATAGTTATCGTGATGCTAGATATAATAGCACTTTTATTTCACTGATAATGTTAATGTGTACTGTGTAATATTAGATGTTATCTCCAAGCAAACAAAGCGATTTTCTACAAAGGCGCCAGAGCATAGGTGCGAATACAGAAAATAAGAAATATATGTAATAATACTCGGTCTATTATTATGCAAGCTCAGTCTACTATTATGTTAATTACAGGCACATATATAATAGCGAATGCGAAAGGCAGCAGAACATCGCGTTCGAAACGTCGCCCAAAGTGACATTGTATTCCGTTAAAAATACTGTCGACGAAAACAAAACAAAAAAAATGAATTGTGCAATGCGCGATAATAGGAGGTCGGCGATATTTTTCGCGATAGTCATCAGTTTTCGTCTAGCCGTCTCTCTTATTAAGTCAAGTTACACCGAAGCATTCGTTCGTTAGCTCGTGTTTAATTTATTTGCACAATTGCGCAAATATTCGCACGATCGTGACAAATATTTACGGCCCAATATCACCGTCACTATACACCTCGTAGGCGTAACGAGGAGTTTTCATTCACAAACCGTGCGAAGTATCGTGGATCGTCCACCGTCCAGTCGTCGATGGTGCGCCGGAGAATGTTTGTCGCGCCGCGCCGTCGCACGAAGTGAGTCGTTCGATTCATCAAAGAGAAAAACTTGTCAACACGCCTCGCGATCACTCACGGATCTAACACGCGGATCCGATTCCGGATCCTCCTCCTCGAGCTTCCGAGAAGCGCGCGTTATCCCGAGAACATGTTTACACGTTGGGAACGCCGTCGGTGTTCCGTGATCAATTACAAGATTAAAAGAACTGACGACTTACATTTTTTCTTCCCCCCCCCCCCCCCCAGGATTCACAGGCGAACGTCTTTGGACGACGGCGTCATCCCGCGAGCGTTGTCGCGAGAGACGCGTTAACAGGCACAAAGGAATCCGCGAATATTCGGGCAGCGATAACAATCGGCGATGCGCGCGTCTCACCCTCCTCCCCCTCCGTCTCTCTCGCAACGAGTGTATGCATACTGCATCACGCGCACGCGCGCACACGTACGTTACGTGCCGTGTAGTATGTACATACGTACTGATTGGAAAGTATTGCATAGCGTGCACCGAGGCCGTCTCCATTCGACTCGTGATGTTCGTGACGTGACGATGTATACGGCCATTACGCCGATATTTCCATATCGCGAGGAAATGCCGAGAGCGCGGAGGAAACAAACCACCGACGCGATATGACCTGATACGATTCAATTCGTCATCCGGTATATACGTGTATAACATGTGCGTGATACGTGCATGTGTGCGTCTGTCCTGTCGGGTCTGTCGTATCGCAAAGCGCAGCATGCCGCGGAATCTCTTCATACCATTATCGCGTGGAGATTATCCCGAAATTATGCGTTTGTCAGCATATATTTTTTCCACGCGCGCTCAAGGGAGACAAAGTTATTATTTGTCGATTCTCGCATATTTATCAACGATCTCTACTTTGTTATTTCGCAGCTGCGGTTAGTAATTACGATTGATGATTGCCATTCTCGTGTATATACAGGATCCGCTAAAATTAGCAGCACGATGAGTTATCGTGTTCTGTTAATATTAATAAAAACGCGAATGACAACCATTAATATTCGACGTTGAAGAATTCAGTTTGATAAAGAGATCAAACAACAGCGAAAATTGAAATTGGGATTTATATTAAATAAAGCGTTCTATGGATATAATAAATTTTATGTATTTCAGATTATGAAGAATAAAGAAAATGATAATAATCATCGTTTAATAAGATTCATGTGAATGTAAGATAATACTTAAATAATACTTCCCAGAATTAATTATGCTGTACATTTTAACATTACATTTACATTACATTTATGGAATATTTAATTACATTTAAATTTGTATTTACACAAATTTATTTCTAGTTGTGTATTGTCTCTTAGAGACAAGAGATAATACACAATTAAATACAATATAAAATATGTAAACTATAAATTAATCGGATCATAAAACAATATAAAAAGAAATAGTACAGTTTTAGGATCAAAATAGTTGATTTTAATACCGACAAATAAAAAAATATTTAAACGAGATAGAAATTACTTTAATATAACGATAAAAAAAACGGGTTTTTATTGAATACGATACCTTCATAGATTAATTTTTTTTACTGTACATATAACATGTAAAACATGGTTTACATTGTTATCACACGTATAGATTAGATTATATTTTGTGAGTGAACGCACAATTCTGATTCTGGGAGTCAATTATATGCTTGAAACAAGGTGAAAATTACAAAATCGAAATTACTAAAATACTTATAATTTCATTGGTTAGGACATAACAAATTCGCTCATTTTTATAACTTTTCGGAAATTTCAAGATACATAATTGATCCCTGATAGTTATAGCATCTTATCGACAGAATAAAATAATAAAGTATCTACCGTCGGTATTAATCAGACGAAGGTAAAATAGTTTCCTGTAAGTAATTGATAATTCAAACAGAATTATAAATTTTATATAAAATCAAGATTCGATTAATATATTTGATATTTTGCTTAATTTCTTTATACAGAAAAAGTTTTTATACATAAAAATTATCGCTGAAAGCAGATAAAAAGCTGAAAAATGCATAAAATAATAATGCGATTTCCAATTTTTTTTTTTTAAGAACACAGTCTTATATATTTAATTTCGAAAAATTTTATTTTTTTAAATTGTTTTCGTTTTTCAACTGTTCTTGAATCTTACCGTAATCGACTGAAATACTTTCGAATCGCGATGTTTTGAACCGTTTGAAATTGAGAAAGTAGATATTGCAGCAGATGGTTGCGCCGTGTGTGAAAGATTGACAGTAACTTACTGACGAATAGTCGCATGTTACAATCTACGGTGATAATTTGACAACGCGTTCTGCCGTTTCGCGATGTCCGCAAATTACTACTTCGCTATCGTTGGCCATGCCGATAATCCGCTGTTTGAGATAGAGTTTAACAATGCTGGAAAAGACGCAAAGGTTCGTTTTGAGGTTAAACTCCAACTTTGCATTGACTTGTCGACTCTACCATTATATATTTTTCTTTTAGAAAGAGGATCACTCGCATTTGAATCAATTCATCGCCCACGCGGCACTCGATCTTGTGGACGAGCACACGTGGAAAACGACGAACATGCATCTGAAAGTTGTGGATAAATTTAACCAGTGGTTTGTTAGCGCGTTCGTAACGGCGACTCATATCAGATTCGTCATGGTGCACGACAGTAAGAATGAAGACGGGATCAAGAACTTTTTTAATGAAATGTACGAGACCTACATAAAGGTAATAGTTATTTTGATATCGTAGATTTAGATATCTTGCTTGCATTTAGATATCTGCTTTGCAGCAAGAAACAGATGACATTGTAACACTGAATCCTTAAGTGTTTTCTAGCAAGAATACAATTAGACACAGTGTAACACAGTAAATCATTACATCCTTGTTGTTTGCCTACGTTAAATAAGGATAAAATTATTTACAGTGTTCCATGGTGTCTGACTAAATCCTTACTGAAAAATATCTCTTGTATGCTTAAATAGAGATGAAAAAGTCTTAAGTCGTTATCATACTACAGGTTGCCGATTACAGTTGTTGATTCTATTTTCGCCAATCATGTTATCTAATCCACACTTACTGCATCATGATTGACTAAAATAGAACCAACCTGCAGTGTGATTACAACTTTACAATGGCTGCTATTTATAGGATGCTTTTCAAGAGAGAGACACAGATAACAATGTAGCACAGTGAATCATTACACCCTCGTTCACCAATGTTAAACAAAGACATAATGATCACTGTGTTACATTGTTTCTTGTTCACCAAAGTTAATTCTTAATATTCAAGACTATCTTAAGTACAAAAATGTTATAAACCAAAATGTTATAAATCAATTACCGTCTTAAATAATGTCTCAAGATGCTAATATGCAGTTCTGTAACCAGTATATTCATAATCTGATATTTATTAAGATGTTGTGAACCAATTAGAGAACTGTATTGCATCTTAACATGATCTTAAAATAAGAACAGACTATAATAAGAAAGCATCATTATTCACCGATATTATTTTACACTGATGAAAATTGAAATTCCAACATCAAGAAGGAATTGTGTTAGTTAAATGAAAATTACGCAGAACATTTGTTTACAAGTTATTACATGAATATTAATTGCAAGATTATAACTCACAGACGAGTGTAGTATCATAGGAAATATGGAAGTTTCCATTAGACATGTATAAAACATTAGTCTGCTCGTAAGCATTAGTGCTATAAAAAGCTGTAATAACGTGTCATACGTTATCTATTTCATTTTTTAATAATGTAAATGTACCGAATATCTCAAAAGTAACAAACTACATATTGGTAATTAACCCAGTTTAAGTGAAGTCTTCGAGAAGATTATAGATTATCATTTTGTGATATAACGATAAGAATTGATATATGAGCTATTTATGTGCATTTAGATATCTGCATTTAATGTGGCAATGACCACAGTAGGTATTAAGGAGAATAATATTCAATTCTTATATGACACTGCATTCACATTTTGCATAACAAATATAATAACTCATATAGAGAAATAGAGTGTAATTTTCGTTCACCTCTGTAACTCTCTTGATGTTAGGATTTCAATTTCCGTGTATATATACATTTCAACTTCAGTGTATATGAACATGTTAACAATTTTACTTCAGAAATGTTGTGTTTCTATGTTTCAGTATTCAATGAATCCATTTTATAAGCTAAACACTCCTATCAAATCTGTGGGATTTGAGAAAAAGGCACAGTTATACGGTAGAAAATATTTATCTTCATGAACGTAATGATTGCTGTTAGTAAAAGTAAGAGTATTTCAACTTGTTTCTCTTCAACTTTATTCAAGATTTTTATGCTATAAAATATGTTATTGATAGGCGTTAGAAATAAATTGTTTTCCAGTATTAAATATCATTTAAAAAAAGTTGTAACTGTTCACATTTTGATTTGTACAATATATATATGTATATAAGTTAATTGCACTTAAGTTTATGTAAAAATTTGTTTATTATATAAAAGACAAAATTTATCTTATATAGATATATATGTTGCCTTTCATATATTGTATAATGCGTGAAACTCGTCCTGTATCTTCTATTCCATTTCTAGATCTTGTATCTGAAAAGGAATATGTATTTGTATATATGTATATACATTTATAAATAAAAATAGTTATTAAATAAAGTGTATATATATATATGTGTGTGTAATATCATTTTACCTCTTGTACTTTCTGTATTTCTTGAGTCAACAAATTATCTAAAATCTCCTGGAACCGCTGCCTCAACTTGACGTTTTCGATATTAGCTATTTCGATTTCCTGTTGCTGCCTTCTTTGCCGCAATTCCGCCAATTCCGCGTGAAGAGTAGCAAGACGCGAATCTAAATGTTTTTAGATTGAAATAAGTTAAAAATTTGTATCAATCTTATAAATAGAAACAATGTTTATTTAAAATTACCTTTAGAAACGGATACCGATGTGGGTGATTCTGGAATAATATATTCCGAGTGAAATTGTTCTAATTTTGGAGCTTTTAATGGACTACTCTCACCCTGTGGTTTTTCGGCTTCCGTATCGCCGTTGGTGTCATGGAACATGTCTTTACTGAACTCTGTAACTAATCCACTGCTCGTTGTCGCATTGTTACTTGACCTCTCAGAATATGCAGCTTGCATCGAATTGGAGTCCGAAACTCTACTGTCCGCTGAAAGGCGGCTATTCTCATCTAGCTCCATCACGTTTATGTTCGCTTCTTCATCGTCGTCTTCGCTGTCGCTAACTGGCTCACCGAATATATCGTGTTCGGCTGAAATATTAAGTCATGAAATAGAGCATCTAATTCTCTTTTTATAAATTAGAAATAAATATGAAAAATTTGTTTAATTAGCTTCGATATTGAAGCATTTAAAAAAATTATGACTTATTCATATTTCGATTTTGTACAATGTACATATATATATATATATATATATATATATACATAAAGTTAATTGCACTCGCGTTCTTATATAAATATTGTTTACTATATAAAAGATAAAATTTGTCTTATATGATATATGATCTTATCATATAGTCAATTAATTAAATTAACATTTATCTAAGCAGTATAAGCGAATATATATAAGCGATAAGCGAATAAATGTTAACTTAATTAATTGATTGTAAGTTAACACTCACCAACATCCAAACTTTGAGATGTGTTCCCATTTATGCTATCTCGTTTAGTCTTAACTGTACCAGAAGATGACACTTTACTAGGTTTCGATGTATCCTCATCCTCACATATTACCTCCCACTTAACATTAACAGCATCATTGTCCACTCGCAATAAACGTTTAACTTCCTTCTCGATCTCTGGTGCCTCTACATATTTCTTTTTTAAAGTTTTTCTAAATCTTCTACGTCTCACGTTTTTAGTGGGTGGAGTTATACCGTGAGGCCAAAGAAATTTTTTATCCACCTTGTTCGGATCCTTTTTCTTCTGTTTAACAGGAGACTCTTCATCAGTAGCAGTGTGATCTTCCTCTTCTTTACATATTAGCATCTAAAGAAAACATTACAAGAAAATAATGTAATATAAACTTCTCTC